AACAGAGAGCAAACCCCACTCCCTTCTAGCACTGAAAATGTTACCTAGCTGGGTAATGAAATGTCTACAAGAAAATAACCAAATTCAGAGGACCCCAAGGAATCCACTGCTTCTTACAGTTTTAAGTTCTTACAAAATCTGTTATTGCTGTACTGTAATCTATAGTATTGTAGCTACTGATTTCTGTCTGATTTGTGCAGATGGCAAAGGAGTACATAAGATCTGTAAAAGATCGTAAGAAGTCAAAAGGGCGTCGCCAGCCCTTGAGCAAACTCCCACGTCATCACCCACTCTTGGTTAAAGATAGCCTTAGTGATGATGGTAAGTTCCACGTTTCTTCCTTTTTATGTAATAGAGGTGTTTGCCTGATAGTGACACTGATTGATAAGTGTCTTTGGATGTCTTAAACTAATCCTATATATCTTTAGAGCAAGCTCTTGAATTTTGTACAACGTATACCTGAACTCATTAATCACAATCTGATTCACAATTCCTTGAAAGTTGCAGCCTTGGCTAAGTGAGCTTGATATACTTTGAGGATGAATTTCAGCCACCAAGTTAGGACCCAATACAGCGCTTTGATCTCTCAGGCAAAGGAAAGAGAGCATGTATTTCAAACACATTTTATAATTGTGGGGTTGTGTATTATTTCCAAATTATTGGTCTCACAAATTATATAGGCTGAGCAGCCATATGCTAGAGTCTGAGTTTTTACACAATGTAAAAAGCAATGTTTGTAATGGTTGCTAATAGAGACAGAGAGAGTGTTGGCAGTCACGGCTGAGAAGTGAGGCACATTATTAATTATCTTTCCAGTAGTTTAAATCTGTTATTCTTTTGACAGCCTGGAAAAAAGGGGAAAATGTATGTTTCTAAATTTTGATTGATGTTGTGATCCTTACTGCAGAAATGTCTGAGCAGTTAGCACCTGAAGAAGAAACTGAAGAGATGGAAGCATGGGCTAAGCCTCTCAGCCAGCTGTGGCAGAATCGTCCTCCAAACTTTGAGGCGGAAAAGGAGTATAATATTGCCATGGCTCAACAGGCCCCCTATTGTGCGGTGTGCATGCTCTTCCAAACATACCAGGTAAGCAGATTATTCTTTCTCCTGGCCTGGGTAGTACAGAAGCACTGTAGAATGTAGTTTGTGTAGGTATTGAAAGTGCTGTGTTAATAATGTGACTTCAGTTTTATGACTGATTATTGCCAGAAGCTACTTTTTCCTGCTTCCAGTGTATTTCCATTGTAAGTGGGATTTTCTATAACATCTGTCATACTATCCTAACAAATGTATGCTTTTTTTTAAATACACACACACAGACACATATTCTAGTGCCCGATAGCAGAAGCTAAACAAGATTAAGCTTGATTAATGCATGGATGGGAGACTGTAGGCTCTTAGGGCTCAGTAGGTATCACATTCATCTCATATGGGAAGAGTCATTGAGAGCCTATATGGTGTGGTGGTTAAGATGTTAATAGCTTTTCAAACACTATCCACATGTTTCTGTTTCTTAGGGTCATTTATTACTAACCCATATGGAAGAGTTTTCCCTCACTAAATAATGCAACACAGAAACTGTTTAGCATAGTGTGGAATTTTAACTGCTTATTTAAAACAGTTAAGGAATTTATCCTATAACTTACTTTTTGGATCTTACTTAAGTAGCACACGGAAGGCTTAAAACAAGTCCAAAAGTATTTTTGATGATTGTTATATTGGGAGTAACATATTTAATAAATTAAAAAATAAAATCTTAGGGCTGGAGTCATATTTGCAGAAGTGTACCTGAGATGATGTAGTGTGTACTTTCTCTTTGAAGATTTGGACAATGTTGTATCAATTTTATGTTAAACATAGATTCTTTACCTTATTCTGCCAGGAAAAAAAGGTTTATTGATTATTTGTTTAGCAGAAATATTCAGTATCCCTTCTCTAGAAGGACATTATATCAAACTTAATTCAAAATCATTCTACCTAAAGCATAACCTAGTAAAATAATATTTATTTCAATTCTTGTCCTTGGACCCTTTTAGTGCACAAAAATTTGGTATGCTTTCCTGATCATGCGTTTTTTTTTTTAAATTTCTGCAGTGCTGTTCCTTTCTAAAATGCATAATTTCTCATTGGCAGGCAGATTGTGGAAGTCAGAGCTCACAGGCAGTTCCAGATGCTCCTAATGGAAAGATGAGAACTAAGCCCCTCATCCCTGAGATGTGTTTTACTACCACTGGTTGTAGCACAGATGTCAGCCTCTCTACCCCATATCTGGAGGAAGATGGCACCAGTATTCTGATCACATGCAAGCGCTGTCAGGTCCGCGTCCATGCCAGTGAGTACTGTATAACTTAGGTCTGACTGTCCATTGACACCCAAAATAAAATATTACCATTTAGCCCTCCATTTTCCCATATTTTAAAAAGGAGTAATGTAAATGTGTGGCAGCTTATGCCTGGTTGTTTTTGTGGGTAAGGAAGACCACAGAAGGAAGTCAAGGAATTGCATTTTGGTGCCTACCAGATTCATATGAACAAAATAATCAGAGAATACCATGGGTGCAGACTAAAATTAAAGTGCAATAAACATAAAAGATATCACTCCAGATACTTTTCATACTATGTGAAGATTAAGATGCTGCCACTGGAAAACTAACCCACAGTATAAAAATTCAGAGGGAAAAACCTCAATGGAATGCCAGTTATTAAGCAGCTTGAAAGAGTGCCTTTCCCTAATGCTTTGAATATCGCTGATGCTTTAAAGCAGTAAGAGAAACTCAAAGATGTAGGGCACTGTAATAGTTAATGTCTGGAGTTAACTTATAACAACAATCGGTTTTTCTATTATAAAATCCTTTGAACTGACAGGATCCAGAGACAGATTTGACCCAACATGACCATTTTCATGGCTTGAGTAAATCATAAAGAAACACAGGTTTGAAATTTATATTTTTAAATGAGGGATCAGATTATGAATAGATCAGTATTGCTTTTTGATTAGTAATAGTATGTTTCAAGTAGATGATAGAATGCTTAGGGTGATATTCTGTGCCATTGTTTGGTTCTTCCTCTAAACCAAGACTGGTCCAACATATTTTGGGGACACAAATTCATTACTAATATTTGTTGAAATAAGAATGGTTATGGAAATTGAAACATTGCAGGTTCTTGTTAGAACATTAAGAAAATCTGCTTAGCCTACAGACCTTCTATTCTTATTTTTATCTTAGGTTGTTATGGAGTAGCTCCTGAGAAGGCAACTGAAGACTGGAAGTGCTCTAGATGCAAAGCTAATGCTTTAGAAGAGGTACATCAGTGTCAGCTAAAATTCTTTTGTGTTCATGCATGAGCCTTAGTTCAGTATCACTGAAATGTTTGCAGTTGTGGGATAGTTATTGAAATAGATGCATATACATACATGAAAGACTTTCATTAAAATGTAAAGAAAATCTATATAATCTCAAGATCTAGTTTCTGATCTGACTTTTCTTCATGGGATACTTTAAATGAATGGTGTGGTTGACTCAGTATCATCCATTATTAAGTGTATTCATGAGTGTTCCAGAATCTAGCCCTGGGATACAGAAACCTCCTGCTCAAGCTGGCTTAATTAACAATCCCTACTGGAGATAGCTCCCCTGAATCTCTTCTGAGTCAAGCATTTATTCAGATATTGAGAATCCTTGTTAAAATTTTGAAATGTTTATCAAGCTCGTGGTTTAGACATTTAGTTTAGGGAATGGAGTACTACTACGAGATGTTTTCCAGGTTTATTTGACTCTCATGGTGCAGAAGCATTGATGTGCAACTCTGCTGTCATGCACCACTGGTGAAGTACCATCTTACTTAGATAGAATGGCATAGGCTTTTGAGCAATCATCTGAACAAAACAGATCCTGCATCACTTCCACATAGGTGTGGAAAGCTTTCTGCTATGTGTGCCCATAACTGGACTTAATAAAATGCATTCTAGTAAGCACTAGCCTTTCATTTCCTGTAGGACTAGCTTGAGATCTTCTATGAGAGAAAAACAGTTAATGCACAGAATTATTTAACTTGCACAGTACAATTCTCATTGCAGAACATTTATGTGTTTCAGAGAAGATTTAAAAATAGTATAAAATGTAGTATAATGGTACATTATAATTGTACAGTGTTAATTGGTATGATTTCAGTAATGTGATTTTCTTTTGTCTGTCAGGATTGCTGCTTGTGCTCACTTCGTGGAGGTGCACTTCAAAAAGCCAATGACAACAAGTGAGTTTTTGTGATAAGCATGGAAGGGGCCTTGACTAATAGGCATCAACTAATGTTAAACAACAGATTTATTAGTGATGTTCCCCTGGTCTGATGCAATACTGGTTGAGGCTATGGTTGTGCAAAGCATTCAGTTGAGGTTTTTGCAAAGCATACTGTTGTAAGCAAAGCTCCCCTTCTCAGATAGTTAAAGCAACCACATCCTACGGAGGGTTCATAAACTGCTTCAAAAGGTGTCCACAAACGTGTGCATGGACAGCCACATTGCTGATAGTCTGTTATCTGTTCACACGTAGACAGAGAACCTTTGAAGCAGCCATGAGCCTTCCAGAGTATGTGGTTACTTTTATGCTAAATGTTTTTGCAAAGCACTTCTTTAAAATGCTTTGTGCAGCTGTATTGAGAGTGGGGGAGGACATGTAGTTCATGAGGTTAACTATTCTTTATACTAAGGGGATATTTGTTTTTCAGCTGTTTTACTAGTATCAGTATGGGTTCTCCATATCCTGAAGCTAATTTTTAATGAACATTTGCTAAGTACTTAAGTAAACTTCTGATTTTTCTCAGGTGGGTCCATGTTATGTGTGCTGTGGCAGTTCTAGAGGCCAAATTTGTAAACATTGCCCAGCGTAGTCCAGTTGATGTCAGCAAAATTCCACTGCAACGCTTCAGACTGGTAAGAAAATAAATAGTTATTTGAATTGATTAACATGCTTACTGTATGCTTTTATGAGATTCTTGTATCATAACCCTGAGAAAGCAGGAAAAGTCTCTTCAGATTAGAAGATTTGTGATAATGTAAGTGATAGAACTTTGGATGATTGTATATACCAGCCTTTATCGACTTGTTGCCCTCCAAAAGTATTGGACAAAACTGCTGTTATTCTAAGACTGTGGGGCTAAAGGTCATGGTGGCTGAAAATTATGGAAGTTGGAGCCCAGCACATCTGGAAGATGACAGGTTCAGGAAAGTTGGTGTATGCAGTATAATAACGAATGTAACTTAACAATTACTTGTATTAGTTGTAGAATCAAATGGCTGTACATTAATAATGTAGAGCACATGGCATGCATATGTGCTGTCTGTACAGTAATTTAGTAAGAAAGGCCAGTGTTATCACATTGCATGCCAAAGGTCAAAGCTGAGAAATGATTATTACACAATAGAAAACTGAGCAGATCTGTGGCTGTGGTCAGTCTATGTCCTATCTGTTTGTTTGTTTTTTGACTAATATGGCCACCCATCATGTATCAGAACCCTGGACAGCTCACGAAAGCAGCAGTAAAAACATAAAGGAAACAATAAAACCACCATCCAAAACTTAGTGCCCCAGAAACAAACACTTTTCCATACATTAACCTTTAGATTTACTAAGCTCCAGCCTCACCTTAGCCCAACATTCTGGGGAATAGTCAGCTTTTCAAGGCCTTCCAGAAGGCTAAGAGGGTAGGGGCTTGCTGAATCTCAATAACGAAACATTCTCAGCAGCATATCAAGACTGACTTGACAATCTTATTGCAAAATATTAGTCTGCTGATGAGACTCCCACTTTGAAAAATTACAGTATTCTACAGATGTCCCTATTTCAAGTGCGTTCTTCATTGGTTGTTTTATATGCTTTTGTTTGCATTATCTGTATCTTGCCCTTCTTCAAGAGAACTTAGTTATAATTAGCTTCATCATGTTTGGGTTTAGTCATGTTACTATGCTATGTACCTTCAGAACAAACTGGTCCAGCACTTACTTGGTTAAAGAATTTTCAAAATATGTTTTCCAACTCTCAGCGTCCCTTCCCATAATCTCTAGATAATATTACTCATACTTTCTCTACGTGCAGAAGTAATGTATCTTTCCTAGGTAGAGAATTATTAGGTAGACAGAAAGTCTTCCTAAAAAAGAATGATAAACTTGAGTATCAGTCAGTATAATTGTGAAATAGCTATGTGA